CCTGGCCAGCTTTCTCATGCCTCTGCACCTCCTACCAGTCTTGATGTGGCCTCCTCTGTAAGTCCTTGGTTATAAGGCTTCTCTTCAGCCTGTCTTCAGTTGGTTATTCAAGATGATTTTTCTATACTTTCGTTGTAATTCCAGTTTGGTCCTGGAAGCAGGTGAGTGTAGCTTTCACCTAATCCACTGCCATCTTGCATCTCCTTCTGACTTATTCTAAAATATGAATTTCTGAAAATAAATTATCAGGGGTCATACTTTAAAAATATATACAAATTTATAAAACTCTAAGAAACAACTGAATTCATAGAAATACTGGCAAAAATCAGAATGAACAAGAATTAATTACGGGACTGAATAAATTGAAGATTATTATTCTTATGACTGTTCAAAATATTGCTGATTTTTAAAAAATCTTGTTTATTTTCTTAGAGCAGTTTGATAAATTGTACCTTGATAAGCAATATTAAATCATTTATTTTTTTCTCCCTACTTGATCCCTGCAGAATTTAAAAACTCTTAATGAGTATCATTATTTTCATGGCAATATGTTTGTTTGCATGAACCCAGTAGGAGTGTGATTTCTTCATCACAGAGACACTGAGAAGTGACATGGGGCTCAGTCTGTCCTCATGGGTTCCAGCTTGTCCTTGTTTCCTCCACTTTACATGGATCGTCCCTTCCCAACTGCCTACCCCGTGAACTCCAAGTTCCAGCACTAGATGCAAAAACAACCTCATGGAGAATGTTTAACTGATTCCAATTGTGTAATGTGAATCCCTGTAAACCAATCACTACATAAACACACATGGTGTTGTTAATGCCCTAGCTGTTCTTTCTCTGATTGCTCTGATGATACAATTCCCTTTTCTTACCTGGGTAGATGTACAATATGTTAATTCATTTACTAGTTGCTGGACATTTCACTGTTCTTGGTTTGGGATGACATTCACATACAGGTCTGTGTGTGAACATATTTCAAAATATGGTATGTATAAAAATAACAATAGCTAAAAATACTAAATGTGGATTTTTCTGTCCAACCAAACAGCTGATTGGAGATGAGAGCCAATCAGGGCTGCACTGGAAATTTAAATTGGGTAAAGATTAGACATCGTGTTAGGCAGGTGTTCTTTTTCCCCCATATAGTTACTTTCTATTGAATTTGTTACTGTTACAGAGTTCTTGCACTGCCAAACCACGCCTGAGAATTCAAAGACAGAAATAGTACAATGGACAGCCTCTCACCCATCACACCATATATTAAAACTTGATTCAGGTGCATTTTGTTAATTTCACAATCTTTTAAAAAGTTATGAGTTGGTTTTAAATCCCCTGCAGGTTTTGAGTACAGTGTGCCATTAAATAAGTCCCACATGCGCATTCCAGTTCATTCTTCAATAACATAACCCTCAACAACATTTTCCTGGAAAAAAATGCATACTTTTCAGGGAAAATATGTGGCTCAGGGTCCAAGAGATTCGTTAAGATTTTTGGTTCCCAAATGAAGTCTTCAGTTTAATCAAGAATCCCTTGTTTCTCTCTTAATCATCCGACCCCTCCTTGGCTTGCTCAGCTACTTACCAAAACACAGCAGAAGGCAGGCATCCTGCATGGCGCCTCTAAGACACCCACACTACTGCCCAGAAATGGCTGGCAGGTCCTGTCAGGAGATCCTGTAAGACGCCC